CGTCGCGTCGGTGGCGAACGGTGGTTGACGTTGTTGGGGGTGCCCGCGGGATGGGGAAGGGGAGGGGATGTTCAGGCCGCGCGGTATTGGCGATCTTCGTTTTCTGGAGGCTAGCGTGAAAAAAACGAGCCACCGTTGTGATTCACAGTTGTTTTCAAGGTGTCTTAAACTTGTTTTCCTGTCGGCTTTTGACGAAACCATGCGAATAATTTAATACAATTTTCGTTCGCAAATGGTTTTGTGCATTGCCGTTTTCAGTGTGGCGAAAGAATGTCTCCTGGTTCGCAACTGCATTGCCACCTGATACCCCTAGTGCCCGCACTGAAACAATGCAATTGTCCCTACGACGTTTTTATTCTAAGAGATGACGAGTAGGGGTAAGTTAAACTTACGGATAATGATATGCAGCCAGGAGTTCTTAAGCCACAAGCGCCAATATCGTCTGGTCGACAAAATTTCCAAACAAGCAAGTTGCAAGGTAAGAACAAGGGGCAACTAGAAGCACGTGAATAGAACTGATTGGGTGAGATCCCTTTGTCTTCGCTGCATTGCCCTTTTTACATCGCAGTTCGTTGCTTTTGTCTCGTTACCTTCGGTTCGTATTCTGGCTCGCAAGGATGCATTTAATGCCTGTCTACACCTTTTTCATCGCGTCTAACACGCGTACAGCAACTCAGGGTATGCCCCATCATCTGACAAGGTCATCTTTTTTGCCTAGTGTATCATATGGCTTTTTAACAGCCATTGACGCCGCTCCTAGAACTTTTTTCCTTGCACGTGACCTCACTTGTGCCACAGTTTGGGCTCCTAGGTGATGACTTGCAGGTCAATTAAGGTAAAAAATGATCAAACTCCAGATTTGTGTTTTAAGTGCCCTAAAACCTAGATATTTGACCCAAGTAAAAGATCACTGGTGCTCATTTAAGATCAGTGACCTTGTTTGCCATTTTGGAGGTCATGATGACCAAAATCATACAGGACTGCTTGAAGCTTTACATCTGAGTAAGCATCAGAGATAACGCTAGGCAGTATGTTTTTAAAAACTAAATGTTGACCTGGTTCATTTTATGTCAGTGACCAATCCTGACCTTTAAGAAGTCAATGAATAGTGCTAAGAGCTGCCCCATACAGTAAGCTCTAGAGTTACGCAACAGGTCGGATTTGACCTACGTCTCATCCTGATACCTGACTCTAGGTCAATGTCATTTTTCGTTCAAATGTCATGTTGACTGAGAAACTATATCAGAAATGTATGGCTTCGTATAGCACCCCGTTGTTGCATCAGATTAAACGTTTCCCTAGAAACAAACTTCACTGATCCATGCCCTGATATTGCCCAACTGTAGGTCAGCGACGTTGCAAGGTGCCTATAATTTTGTTGTGGTAAATGACCTGTTATTGAATTATACACAGCTATGCAAAGTTTGACTCGCCTACGTCTCGCCGTTAGGAAACCATTCCGGAAAACCCGTTGGGGGGGGGGGGTAAGTTGATCCCCGAACTCGTGTCAACGCACAGTCAGTTCAGCAATCCAGAAACTATATCAGGTACATTTTGTCATCATATATTTTTTAACCAGAAGCCAAAGCCAAGTTTTGATCACATGAAGGCAGGCATGGATCGAATGCCTTTCGAGTGGCAGTCATAGCAATCAAATGATGCCTAAGGGGTAGACCAAGTGCGTTCTTCCACAACATTTCTATGGGGATTTGAGCTGAAATAAACATCTTGAAAATCATTCAGAGCAATTCATAGCCCTGCTCTTCTTAAGATCTCAACCGCTTTAGCCTCTGAGCTGCACGCCGCAAAGATGAGGAGACTATTTCAGGGGGATTATTCCAATGCCACCTTGACATTCATGACGTTATAATGGCGTCATTCAAATCCTGACATTACACAGGCCACGCGGTGATCAAGGCCAAGAAAAACATAATGGTTGAGTCGTTCATATCTGTCGTTTGTGAGCACCATTTCCGGATATAACATGGTCATCCACTGGTTCGCAATCAATGTTGTGCGAGGCACGATGACGTGATCAAACAATGGTGTATCGAGGAACGTATTAACTTAACAGAAAAATTGTTTTGTTTTGAATAGTATTTTTTAAAGAGTAAGTCAATAACGATAATTTTGCTTGTTCCAGCACATGTGATGCTCACCTTGATATCTTCAAACGTGGAACATTTCCTTAAAACCGTGCCCGGCCTGGGAAATTGATTTCGCCCTACGATTTTTTCGAGCACAGCTCAAAAACGATAGCTTGCAGGAGCTCGTAATTTTCCGCATCTGTTTATGTACTAATTTCACAGCCTGTGTGCGAATTTGAAGTTTTGACATACCCGGATCAGTGGCCCCTCTCAGGTAAAAGAGGTAAGCTTTCACCACACCTAACTTTGTTATGAGTAATTTGGAATTGTTTAAACTCGGCATAGCAATAGAACATTATGTTGCGCGTAGTTTTTATGCCTCACATTTCTTTCTATGTGGCTTTTGTGTTTTACATGAGGTGGAGGGTACTTGTTCGCATGCACAGGCATCATATGACCCCAGGGAAGATGGCCTTCACCCAGGTCATGATCTACCTCTGTGGGTGCCATCTGCAAAAGACATACTGTGCTCAAAATAGGCAATTTCACGAGGTAATTTTGGACGCAGAATTTGAATACTCCACTGAAAATATGATGTGATTTCATTCTAATGCATAATGAGGCTACAATAGGTCACGTGAGAACATGCAAGGTCAAATGAGGTCACCAAAATCAATGACCTATGTTGCCAGAAATGGACAGTCTAGATAAGAGTGTGACGCGTGCGACCACCTCTATGTCGTTTTTTGGAGCTGATGACATATCGCTTCATGTACCAACGTACCCCTTATCAGCTTCTTACAAATGCACTGTGCATACGAATGCACAAATGCATAATGAGGCTACAATAGGTCACGTGAGAACATGCAAGGTCAAATGAGGTCACCAAAATCAATGACCTATGTTGCCAGAAATGGACAGTCTAGATAAGAGTGTGACGCGTGCGACCACCTCTATGTCGTTTTTTGGAGCTGATGACATATCGCTTCATGTACCAACGTACCCCTTATCAGCTTCTTACAAATGCACTGCCAAGCGTCAAAAGGACTATGCATAATGTTGACAACAGCTGTGTGATTTTGAATATAGAAACATGTACAACGCACCATTTCTGATCACAGAAAAGCATTGTACTGGTCACATGGACCCGGGTAGCGCTTCAAGTGGATCATTAAACCGACCTAAGTTGACCTCAAATGACCTTTATGGCAGCCTTAGGGGTTTCTTTTGTATCGTGATTCTTCTTCCTACTGCTGCACCTAATAAAAACTTAGAACTGCATTGCTAAAAAGTAGCATTCTTAAATGCTACTGGTAGACCAGTTTTGAAAAGTGATCTGATCTGACCTGACTCTTGTTTGTGACAAAAGTTGTCGGAATGAATTCCCCACAGTCTTACCGTTTATTTTCTTACCTTCAATGTCCATCTTGACGCGTCTCCATCTTGACGTTTTTGATATTTTGTAACCTCTTGTGACCTCACATGTGGCCTAAGGTCAAACATTTTGTGTGCATTCTTCATGATTTGACGATACCTTCACAATGGCATCTTTGTTTGTCTCATAAGGCGTATTCTTGGAGATTCCAGGGAGGCAATTCAACTTTCCCCTCCCTGCCGGGTGTGGCTGTCTTATACACCAGGCCGGGCGCGGGTTAAGTTGTGCAACATTTCAAAAAACAGCATTGAAGTACAAGCTAACATTTAGGGCTCCAATCAACGTTCGAGGGACAGGATTCTCTCAAAAAATGAAAATAAACAATGTTGTTATCCGTGCATAAGGCGCCGTTGGCACCAGATCAAGGAGATGCTTATATCAATGATAGTCATTAGTGCGGCATTGGTGATAGCAAGTTGCACTGATGAATCTCGAGATCGCTTTTGCTTGCACTCGTAAATCTTAAAAGAGGCAAATTCCGTGACGAAGGGACAGTTCATAAGTTGTCTTCCTGAATACGTCACTGCCTAAGAAGGTAAACTAGCTGGCTCCCTCAATTTATACTCCTGCTCCAACTGCTGCGGAAGGTTTATAGTTGTTCACGCCAAGGAACTCAACTCAAAAGATAAAGTCGAAGCAAAAACTCTAAGTTTCCTTAAGCCTAGGGCTTTTCGATTTCGGTGAGAATCATTTGTCTCTAGATTATTCTTATTGGAAATGTGTGAAACGAACATATTTAAAGAATTAGCGCAAAAGACAAGAACAGAAGTTTCACTTTGGGAGAAGTGGTGCTTAATTTTGTTGTAATGGTTCATTTGCCTTCGAACTCAAATAAAAGGCGCCTTATTAGTGAGCCTGCCTCTTCAACCAATTTTCAGACGATATGAAAAAGCACTCCCTTAGCTGCCTGGGAGGCAGGCTCGAGTATTTTTGCAAAATGTGTTGGGTCGAGGAAAGCAGGTCCAATGTTTCAGTTATTCAAGCTCTCCCGACAGCACCAGCCCATCTTCACCTTTGCACTGAGGTGGTCTGCGCCGGGGTGGGCGTAAGGCTTATAAGGTATAAGTCAAGGACTCAGGTCATTCACTATGTTTTATATCTGCATAGCATCAACCCGCACTTCACAGTCACAGCAGATGAGCACGTCGTGAAGACCCTGTGGCATGGCATGACAGAAGGTTTGGGCCTACCCGTCCCCTCCTTTGATAGTGCTTTCCTCATCGATCCCCTATGGCATGGCATGACAAAACTTTTGGGCCCCTTCTCCCCATCCTGCAACAGCATTCCACTCATCAGTCCGCTACGGCACGGCATGACAGACGTCTTGGACCTCTCTGCCCACTTCTCCAACAGCATTCCCCTCGTCTATCGCCATGCCCCCGCCCCTCCCCCTCCCGCTACTCCTCCCACCTGACCCCGTGCCCATTGCCCGTCCCGTGCCGGCCGGTCGGCTTTCTCCGCGTCCGCAGGTCCGGGCGGCTGGTCTCTTCGGCCGGCCGCTCCCACGTACACACCTGGGGTGGACGACTCCGGTTGGCCGCCACCGGCTCGGGAAGCGGTAGAGCAGCGCCCGCGGCGCCGCGGGCGCGCGGAGTAACGGTACTACACCGAATCCCGGGGCGGTGGCGGTCGGCCGGCCAGGCGAGTGCGTGGTGTCAACAGGGACTGCTGCGGCCTTCTTGCGGTGTTTCTGGGCGCAAAATCTGGCGTTTTGTGCGTTTTGTGCGTTTGAAGTGAGCTGGATTTTGGCAAGTGCGACTGCAGGCTCTGGATAGACAGCTGCTGCGCCGCCGAGGGCTTCGCCGCCAGCCGAAGGTCAGTCCGCGTCCAGCAGCTCCGTCTGTGCATGGACAGCCCCGTTGCCTTGAAGTGTTACGCCGCGCTTTGACAGGGGACATTCGGCGGTTGTGACAGTGATGCACGGGCAAGGGGTCCGTAATGTTTGGAGAAGGGGATCATTCGGGGTCCGATTCTGCCGTGCTAGGCTCAAGAGTGGGGCTTGTCGTTGGCTTCCTCGCCCCCTTCCCTCCCCCAGGGCGGCGAATGGTATGGAAGCCGGGTCACAAACCTCATACGGTGCCATACGCTGTTTTTCTAGAGTAGGCCTCAGTTGAATTTTAAACATTCAATATGGAAACCAGGATTTTCTGAGGGAAGAGCCTGAACCTCAGTGAGAACGCATCACGCCGATTTTTAGCTACCGGGAGCCCTCTGTGGTGATAAACGAAAAAAAATCCCTGGCGGAAGGAGGGAGCCCGGGCCCCCGGGGTTCTCCCTGGACTGATTCCCCACGCAAGCTGACTCACGTAACGTTTGCTAGCGTGTAAATGGGCAGCAAACCAACCGGACTTAGTTTCCCGGACACTACAACGGTACTCCTAGTATCATCTTACCGGCTGAAAACCTGCGCCGGAATTTGTCCTGGAACCTGTCGCTGACGTCTGGATCTGGAAGTAACCACAGGAAGTGGGACACTGCCGGTGGGCAGGCGGAGTAGCATAACGTAACATTACTGTGGGAGGTACAGCGTAATCACTGCGTAACTTCGTTGCCGGAGCATGGGGAGGGCCGCTTGACGGCCGGTTTTGCCTGATAGAAGTCTTGTGACCTATAAGGTGTGTCGTGCACAGTTCCAGCAGGTAAGTGTCTTAGTGAGTATACATGTATGGACCGTACAACACGTGAGAGTTGGCAACATTTCTTTGATGCTAGTATATGGGTGAGCGACACACCTTACCGATAATAGAACTGGCGCATGGCAGCCACGGCGGAGAATTAGACCTGGCGCGGCAGAGAATCAGACCTGGCGCGGCAGAGAATCAGACCTGCCGCGGCGGAGAATGAGACCTGGCGCCTGGCAGTCACGTTATGGAATTAGGCCTGGCTCCTGACAGTCACGGCGGAGAATTCAATTTTGCATAGAAGGGCATCAAATTCGACTCACGAAAGGCGGACCGCTAACTACGGCGTTGAATGACGAATAGAGCATTTCAAGTGCAGCGGAGTCCGCACCATTTCTCACTGGAGTTGCAGAGTTTTTACACGACCACTGAAAGATGCTTGATCTGGCGGTTTCGTTACAAAGCATTGTTTCAACATTTCCCGCCTGCGTGGCTGTATTTGGCTGTAACCGGCGCAGAAGCTGTAAATGTCCTAACAGATGGACCTGGAAACTTGACTTGGAGCGGCAGTAGCAAATGTGAATAGCTGTAAGCAAAACTCAAATCGTCATAAAACAAAGCCTCCAATCTCAAATCGCCATAAGACGTAGCAATAAAACATCGTAAAACGAAGCGTTCTGTCCCAGAAAAGGGATATGGCGCCTGGAGGGGTCTCCTTATTGAGATCAGGATGCTTCCAATCCATGAATCGGCCCCGAAACCTAGCTAATGGGCCTCGCTATCCCAAAACAAGGCAAAGTGTGTAACGGGGCCCCATCGCTAGAAAAAAGGTTTCCCCGGCAAGACGACATTGGGCCCACTGATCTGTACAATGGGCTGCCTTATTCAAAACGGTGACCGTATGATCCAGAAAACGGGCCTTTTGAGGTAAGAAAGAAGTTTATTAACCTGACGTGTGGCAATTATGCACGGACCGCTTTGTTTTCACCTCCAGGTCGGCTTTTAGGACAGCTGAATGGAGGATGATGTCTTCTACCTATATTTATTTGCAGTCTAAGTTGTGCCCGTTGCCTTGCTAGCCACAGCATAAGGTGAAGATTATTTGGTTTTGGTACACCCACGCGCTTCTTCTTTTCAGGCATGGTGTGAGTCTGCTGACGTCAAATACCGTCGTCGAAATCTGCAGCCATGAATGTGTGGATTCTTCTGGCAGCTCTCTGCGCATGCGCAGTGGCCCAGAACAGGCCACCGCAGTTTGAAAAAGGCGGCGACATGCTGGATTTTGCAATCAAGGAAGATACGCCCGTTGGCTCACAAGTTTATCAGGTAATATGACATGTACGCAGTAGCCGATAAACAAGCGGCGTCAAACAAGTCCGCCTGACAGTTCAACTGCGTATGTCGAGCGTGTTTGTTGGCTTTAGACACCGTCCAACGCACTTGCGGCGGAAGCTGCGTATCGGTGGGATAGAGGCACTGCTATGGAACGAGATTACTACTCGAAAACGGAAACATTGGAGACAGAGACATTGGACGATTGAAAAGGGCGCTATGCTGAAGCTTTTATTATGGGAACTGCTGGCGATTTAACCAGTACGCTGGGTAAATCGTCAGCTGTGCCGCCACTGCGATGAGAATGTATCACGTTTCTTTCTGTACTGGCGATTTAATTGTGCAATTTGCTGACGATTTAACCATGGGCACTGTGCTGACGATTTATTGTGGGTAATGTGCTGACGATTGAGCCGTGTGCACCGCGCTGACGATTGAACCGTTGGCACTGCGCTGACGATTGAGCCGTATGCACTGCGCTGACGATTGAGCCGTGTGCACTGCGCTGACGATTGAGCTGTGTGCACTGCGCTGATGATTGAACCGTGTGCACTGCGCTGACGATTGAGCTGTGTGCACTGCGCTGACAATTGAACCGTGTGCACTGCGCTGACGATTGGGCTGTGTGCGCCGCGCTGATGATTGAACCGTGTGCACTGCGCTGACGATTGAGCCCTATGTGCTGCGCTGACGATTTAGCTGGAAGTACTGTGAAAGCCCCGAGGATCGGGGAATCGGGGAATGGGGATGGCTTAACTGAAGGTGCTCTGTGCTGTGGGTCAGTCTTCCACGCTCTATGGTTCAACACATTCTGTGCGTATTGAAGTACTTTAATACTGGTCTTACGTAACGCATTCTGAGGTTTTGTAAGTACTTTGGCTGGTTTGGCCTCAAGCTCATTAGCTGAAGTCCGGGGCATGGAATTTTGACGACCATGAGGGCAACAAACGCCTCCGCCACCGCCCCCGCCCTCGCCTCCCATCCCCCGCCGCCACCTGCCGATGACTGTAGGTGCCTGCGCAGGTATCGGCGACGGACGCGGACGGCGACCGGGTGGCCTACTCCATCAGCGGCGACTTCTTCAGCATCGACCGGCTGTCCGGGCGGGTGACGCTGGTGCGCCCCGTCGACCGGGAGCGGATGCGATCCGTCGAGGTCATCCTCACGATCACAGGTCAGTGGCGCGACTCCTGGTCAGCGCAGGGTTGTGATCACCTGCGTGGGTCTCTGCACAAGTTGTGGGCCTAACTTGGCGCTGAGTCTTGGGAGCCGGTGGGTTTGGTCCGGGTGGGGTCGTCGGCCGGGCATCTTTGAAACGGACGTCGTAACGAAACCCGGTCTCTCACGCTAGAGGTACATCCGGTGTTCCAAAAATCCATCCAGAAGGGTGCTCAGGACTTAAATAATGATCCATGTTAGCAGAATCCTGGTTATGCATCAACCTCCGCACGCAATTCAATGACGCTGATCCGTTGCTGTTTGACCCCGAGCCCAGAGATGTGACCTGCCCGGCCCACCTGTCAAGCCTGAGGCGCCTAGATGCTGGGCTGATCGCCGCCCGGCTCGATGATGATTGGTCGGTTTTGAGCAAAGGAAGCGGCGGTAGGCAATGAGCCCCTAGCCGAGGGTGTAATGGCGTGGAACATATCGACATCCCTGCCAGCCAATTGGGCAGATATTAAAACACTGTACGTTGGTAGGTTGGTAAGGTCGAGGATTTAGTCAAGGGAGGTCAGGACTAGGTCAGGTCGGGCTCTATGACACATTTTCATGAATTCAAATCACGAGAGTTTTTGTCAGCTTTGTCCGTCGTCAAAAGCCAGTGATTTAGAAGATATTCCAGCTTTACTGACCAATTATTCAAAATATTTAGCACAACTCATTTGAGTTTGGCATCAAAAAGGTTACAACCATCGTTGGCCTGGCTTGAGCTCGTGTTGTGCGACTGACCACGGTAGGCAGCGTCAAGTTAGCTGAAAGTCGTCGTCGTCGTTGAGAGCAGACGATGTCACCATACTCTGCTCTGCAGTACCGGAAGAGTAGATCTACAAGCTTTATGACCTGGTATAGATGACAGTGCTGTAAGACAGCGAAAATCAAGAGAGGCTTGGAGATAACTAGTTTATCTGTGTTTTTATGATACGTCAGTACTTGAGAGAGCTGGCACCTGGCGCAAAAGAACAATGCCGTCAAGTTCAAAGGTGAACCGAATCCAAACGTGATGCAATGAGAGCACGTGTCGCTGGCAGCCAAAAGTCAAGGCTATCGTAGGGTTGCGATCCATGATACAATCATGGTGCAGTTTGGAGATCAGGTATTGGCAACGTAGAGTGGAAAAGTTAGTCAGGCCAGCACACTTCAAATGCTTGAACGCATTGCTAACGAACGTCATGCTCAACAATATGTTCGTCCGACATGACCTACGTGAAACTGACTTCGTTCAGCTACCTGGTATGACATGGACTAAGAAATATACTTCCTATGAAAGTGATGTGGAATAAGGTTCTGAAAGTATCAAGAAGATCGCTCTTAAGCTATTCGGAATGATGTCTCAAGTACAGATACCGGTTGAATCCGTTTAGTCAGGTTCGGCAAGTTACAGCGCAAGCCTCCGGAGCATGTGCCGGCTCCTCCTCCGGTAGTGCGCAAGTTACAGCGCAATACGTGTGCAACTCCCATATGGCGAGACATGCGCCTGATGTGTGTGCTCGCATGCGTGATCTTTCACCCAACCTGAACTGTGCATACCAAGATCTCTCGACATTGAGGTGTCATTTCTGCGTCTAATGGTTCCAAGAAGACCTTGTAAAGCGCTGGGCTGGGTGATTTATGCAAGGTTCTACAATGTGCATGATGTATTTAGCTCACTTAGGTCAACGCCCCGCAGAAGAGCAGCAAAGGATAACAAAATGTCAGGGAGATATATATTGCATTATCAAGTTTTCCAAGCAAAATTCAAGCGTAATCGTCTTTTGCAACCCTGCCCATAATTCATGAGAGACCACCCACCCATCTGAAAAATGCGGTCATCGTTTCTCCACGCTGCCAAGCGAGACACGGTAAAAATCGTGCCTCACTCATGCCCCTGGCATCCCCTCAGCGGCCATAAGGCCACTTGTTCAACTGACGTCATTAACTCCTGTCTAATTAGATCGCTCTTGTGCACCTCATGGCGTAACTCCAAAGCCAATATTAAAGGAAAACGATGACGTCATTGGACCAAGTGACCCAGTGGTCAAATCGCCGGAAGACTACGGTGTATGGTGTACAGCACTTCGGCCGGAATAGTCGTTTTCAGGACTTCAGCTGTTCCTCTATCAGCCTCGGATCTTGGGCAGGAAATGCAATAAGAACCTTGGCCCTGAAGTAATTTTGCCGGCCCTGTATGGAACTATATATAGCTGTATGGAACTCGACGTGTCAGGACTTTGACGTCAGACAGCGAACTGTTTTGGGGCGCGCCACGTGCCTGTTTGACGACGGTGTCCCTTGACCGCCATAACCTTGTCTGGCCAATTATGTTCGGGTCTCACTTCGTGGAAGCTGTTGAAATGTGGCGAGCTCAAGGCGTGCCGTGCGGCTGACATTAGCATGAAAGAGCGGTCTCAGACTGTAGGTAAGTACCTACCCACTCATTCGCGAGGGGCAGGTAAGAGCTCTTGTGCTCCGACAGTCGTGGCGATATTAGTCGCGAGGAACTCACCTGACGGAGGTGAAGCACTCGTCGCCGAGATCTGATTGAACAGTCGCCCAGAGCACATGAGCTCGAGCTGGTCAGCTTCCTCGAACTCAGGAGCTGTCTGCTGGCCTGCTGTCCGCTGTTGCTACCCCCCCCCCCCCCCCCCATTGCCAACGTTGTCACCAGACGGGCGCTCCGGTCTCATTGTGGGGGAATTCAGCTCTCCGTATTGGGTGCACCGCTGCACGTCTGAGAAACCAGTGGTACAGGGTTTGATTCCCCGCGGTCCCCGTCCTTCCTGCCATGCTGAGAGATGAGAGACAGGCGACGACATGTAGCCTCAGCAGCTGAGTGCGTCGTTGAAAGCCCCAAGGACACGCACGCACGCACGCACGCACGCACGCACGCACGCACGCACGCACGCATGCACGCACGCGCGCACGCGCGCGCGCACACAAACACACAAACACACAAACACACACACACACACACACACACACACACACACACACACACACACACACACACACACACACACACACACACACACACACACACACACACACACACACACACACACACACACACACACACACACACACACACACACACACACACACATTTTTCCTCATCATATTGTAATTATTCTGTGGATTTTTACGTAAGCTATTAAGTGTGTTTTCGAGGAACATTTTTCACATTGATAAGGCAGCAGTAGATAAGACAAAGCCTTTATCCATTATCCAGGTTTTCCCTCGGGGAAAACCTGGATAATGGATATCTAAATGGGTTGATGTTTCGGCAACATGCCGTTATCGAAACAATAGCATTAGTGAATTAAAGATTGCCCGCCGATGATCCTACTCGATTTTTCAGATTGTCTTATTAAACAGTGAGACAGTTTTTACAGGACACCATCATTCAGGGAATAAAACAAGGAGCAATTCCCAGCCATTACTACGATGCAGCGCATACCTAAGAATTCGAATGCGCGAAAACACGTGCACATGCAGGCGAATTCAAGGAAACGGGCATCACTCATCACGCTTCATTCCAAAATGCAAGCGAGTTGAAGTAAACAAGCATCCCACATCACGCACCAATAATGCATGCAAGTGATATCAATTGAACAGGCATTGCGCATCACGCGCTAGCATAACTTACACATGTAAACGATTTTAAGGCAGCACACATCACACATCAAGGCTCATATCACATTCGCGTAATTGGCCGTGATGAGCCTTATACGTTGGGGTTTAGTCGCCGACTTTTTATAACAATAGACTCACTTATTTTCCTGTCAGGGTGCTCCTGTGCTCTGTGTATGACTGAGCTCTAAAAGGGGCACAGGGTCCTTATCCCCCTGGATTTCAGCCTGAACGTGTTTTGCCAAAAAATGGTCAGGAGAGTAGCACAGAGATGTATGGTCTCGTCTAACACTCCGTTGTTGCATCAGATTGAACGATTCCCTAGAAATGGACTTCGCAGAATCCACGCCTGATTTTGACCTGCTGTAGATCAGCGACCTTGCAAGGTACATCTAAATTGTTAAACCCAACGATCCGTTATTTAATTGTCTACAACTACGCCAAATTTGGTGCGGCTGTGCCGCACCGTTCGGAACTCATTTTAGAAACCTTTGAGAGGTCAATTTGACATCCACCTGAGCACGTGTTAAGCTCATGAGCAGGGCTATTCTCACATTGACAGTGTTTGGATGCAGTAAAGTGTGACAAATTTTACCGGATGACGATAGCTCAAGACCACGTACTGTCGGCGGCACCGTACGTCTACTGCTAAGCTAATACACACTATCTGTCAGCATCTGGCCATGCCCTTCACCTGTCTCAAGCCGGGGCTTCAGTTGACCGCGACGCATTGGTGACCTTAACCGCGGCCCACCGATCACGCATCTGGAAGCTAAGCAGTTACAACAGCATGTTCTACCACAAACTGCAGCGTGTTATTTGTCGGCGGGTGGGCGTGATGGTTGTAGAGAGCTGACAAGCCCACGAAATTTCGAGCTGCAGTGAACACGTTGCCCATGTTCACAGCGCTCATCCCAGGTCTGTACAGACATTGTGCGAGCTTTCGCAATAGACGGAAGTGTGATGCGCTTCAGTAGTGATGGAAAGGGTTGGAATGATGTTTGAGATGTTTCAATGGTCATGCGCGGCACCACTTCATTTGTTATGAGGGCGGTTACCCCGTGGAAGGGCGACAAATGAATACTGCGGGTGTTTTCATTAGGTGGCCTCTAAGTTTCGCTTATTATCGGCAGTTCGGCTTTTGCCGTCTCTAAATAGCTTTGCGTATCCCCTCGGAGTAAATCTCGTAAAATCAACAGATTGTTTTTGGATGTGGGGTAAAGTGGCCTCCGGTGCTTTCTCAATTCATTCGGATCCAAACCGCTTTTCAGCCAAATTACTGCATTAAGCCTCCACTGACTCGAACCCTTCACCTTCTTTAAAATCACTCGAATGTGTAATCAGATGTGACCTTTTCTGTAACCCATGTTAGACCCCTACCTTCGAATTGCGGCCTGGCGCGACTGCTGTGACCCCTTTGAATTATGTGACCTCTGTGACCCCTGCGCCCTTAACCGAGGCCGATTTGACCTTGGTTCTGCACCCAATGTGACTCATGTGTCGTGTGCGGCCTCTATAATATGTGTTATATCTGCGGCCCTGTGCCACGTGCACCCCATGTGACCCCTGTGGCTCTTGTGATACGAACCGCAGACGCCGGTGCCGCAGGCGCGCAGCCAATCCCGATGTCGGTCCGTCGCCTGGTGCCAATCGTCCACACCCTCGTGGCCCCTGTGACCTCTGAACTATATGACCTCTGTGATGCCACAGACGTTGTTGCTGAGGGCTCGGAGCCAAACCTGGTGTCGGTGCGCCGGCTGGTGCCGATCGTCGACGCCAATGACAACCCGCCGGTGTTCAACGGTCTGGAGAACGGCGCCTATCGCTTCAGGTGGGAGCGGTGACCAGCCGGTCACGTGACCGACCAGCCTGTCGCGTCGCCATTGGCCGCCGCACTGTGACGTCACCGAGGAGACCCGGTGACGATAGGTCCACGATGTTATGGCGAAGCTGTTGCTCAAACTGTGATTGTAACTGCATGAGCCAATAATAGTCGACCATCTGGGGGAGGGATTAACACGCGCTCTGGTGAGGGGGGTCAAATTGACCCTCCCTCCGAAGGCTGTTCCGGAATGGTTTCCAAACGGCGTTGCGTAGCCGCGCCAAATTCTGCATAGCTATTGACAGTTGAATAGCGGATCGTTTTGTGAAAGAAATTTAGATGTGCGTAAGGTCACTGACCTATGGCAGGCTTAAGTCAGGCCATGGTTTCAGCGAAGTCAATTTCTAGGGAATCGTTCAATCTGATGCAACAACGGAGTGTTTGACGAGCCTATACATCTTTAAAATGTTTTATTAGGCAACATAAACATTGAATGAGCAAATTGCGTTGACCTGAGGTCAGGTATGAAGGTTAGACTAAGGTCAAAACCAATCTGTTTTATGACTCTAGGGCTTGCTGTATGCGGTAGTTTTCGGTGCTCATTTTGAATTCATTGATAGCAGGAACCGCATCATACATCTTCCATTTACTTTTTAGAGGTCAGAATAGGTCATTGACCTAAGCTAACCCAGGTGGGCATTTCTGATGAACGTACTGCCTAGCGTAATCTTTGTCGCTTATTCAAATGCAAAACTCAGGGCAATCTTGTATGATTTTGGTTACCATGACCTTCAAAAGGTCAAGCAATGTCCCTGACCTCAGATGAGCTTGTGACCTTCTGCTTAGAAGCAGTTATCTAGGTTTTGTGGGGCATTTTGAAGACCAACCTGGAATGTGACATTGTTTGATCTTATTTATCCCGAGGGTCATGACCTAGTGACTTCAAACTTTGACCTAAGTGAGTTTACGTGCAGGTTAACACACCCTGCAAATTTGGTGTCTCCAACTCTCTTAGTTCCCAAGATCTTAGGGGGTCAAATTGCCCCCCCCCCCATCCGAGCGAGGGGTATCTAGCCGAACACCCGGGCGCTTGTTAAAACTGAGGTGTCAAGATCATGTTTTGTTAGGGTTTCCTACAGAAGATGCATCACTTCATGAGAATGCAATCTGGAAAAGTTTTCATCGTAGCTCGTCCATGGCAAGGAAACCACCCTAGTACAGCTGGCCGCATCTTGTTTCTGTCTGCCTCTGATCTGCACAGGCTCTTACGGATTGTTAGTAATCACGCGGTGACATTTCTATTAGATACGTTCGAATGGAAAGTGCGGTTGTGATATTCCGGTTGAAACTCTAAAAGAATTGTTCTCGCACGCAAAACCGATTAGAACCGAACTGGTCCTCACTCCAGGAAAACACCTTATGTTGCTAGGTATGGGCGAGACATTAGGAGATGGGAGAGTTAGCGGCTATATGCGTTGTTACCATATTTTGACCCTATTGACCCTGGGTTGACCTAAGACCTACGCTAATGGAGCAGCCAGACACACTCGGCAGACGACGCCAGTAAGTTTGCATTTCATGCATTTCAAAGCGTACCTTTTATGATAATTTGATAGGCGCTCAGCGCGTGTCTCAGGGCCGGAAATAGCTCGTGTTTCGCGTGCTGTAGCGAAGCAGACTTAATCGAGAACATCGGTCATTTAGTAGCGATTTAATTGCAATTGCAGACATAGACCAATGTATTGCGGAAAACGCGTGTTTTGGGTTGATATTGGACACAATTACACAGGCCTATACGCATGCATGACACATGCGTTCTTGGTTTAAGCCACAGTGTCATGTGTTAAAATCTGTTCCTGAAAACGTGGCGCTGGCCGCCTGCCGCTCCATTGCTGTGGCACGTGTAGGGTGGACAGTTTTGAGATCCTTTGGGCAATTGCAACCCTGCGCTTGTGTACAACGGGCTATTGTGTTTACGTGTCGGGTCTGCAAAATGACTTTTTACGGGGCACGATTGTTTGCTGTGCTCTGGCCTCTGCAATTCGACATCGATCTTGTGTTTTAATGCTGGCGGATCCACGGTTTCTCCGCGCCAGGGTGAGATGGTTCACATAGATCCACAAGTTTACCAGCACGGCACGATCGCCTGTGTTCTCCATTGGCACTAGCTAGTCTCATCTCGCTGTAACGCCAGTCGGACGCAGTTGAAGCACGGGAGTTGTTCAAATGTTCTGGTTTAAGGAGTGCGGCAATGCAGCTGTCATTGTCAGAGTTGTCTGGAGTTTAGCAAGCACTCTAGTGAGGGCACGGAGTAGCATTTACAGTTGTTGATAAATCGGCGTGCTTGATAACGCCAGCTGTGTTTTGTTCTGACTTCTACAGAAACCATTTAGCCCACGGCCAACTAAGTGTTTGTGAAACGAAGAACATTTTATTTTACATTCAAGATGTTCATCCTTGGCCTCACAGACAGCATATCTGAAATATTTTATCCCATTTTCCATGTACAATTACCATTGCGTATGGAAAGTACAGCTCCTCAAAGTGCTGCTAAGCCTTCGCCAAGCTTTCTCGTCCATCATCTCAATTTGAGATGCAAATAAGATGGGCTAGAATACGCCTGAAATGCACTGGTTTCGCTGGCGAACGCAGGAACGGAGCACTCAGTTATAAGCTTACACTCTGCGATGAGATTCGAACGGGCTTCCGAACCTGCGTTGTGCTCTGATGCACTTTCAGGCTACCATGATCCGCTGTAACGCTCGGTACGCATGAGCGCGTGACGTGAACACCAAAGGTCTCCTGTCACGGCAGTGTTACAGGCGTCCCGCGCCATAGCTCGTCGGCACGGCTCAAATTTCAACGCGCATTGTGTTTCGTCAAAGCTGAAGCTGATCACGGTCTCAGCAGATTACGCCACGGCTACGATTACGTCACTCTACCAGCTTGCATAGGAATGAAACGGTGGTCAGTTGCGCGCTTTGTCGTCAACTGCAGCGGTATTTTGGTTCTAAGGTGTGAAAATCTCGCCGATAGGCACGGTGAACTGTGATTCCTGCTAACGCAGGCCCGGCTGAGCTCCAGCTTCTATTTTTTATTGTTTGCCTTGTTTACGCCCTTGCGACGCTGACGACAGGGGTGACGGATGGCGCGCTTTGAACTCCGACGGCTTCAGAAATCGATGTTAAAATGTTTGTTTTTGTCAAGGTGGCTCGTAAAAATGTGACGCGTCTTATCAAAGTGGTGGTTAGGTTGCGCCCATTTGTTAATGTGAAGAACATTGATGACTATGGTGAGGGCTATTTTATTCCATTTCCAACGTTGGTATCGACCATGTCACGTTTCGCTGTTCTTCGCAACTATCTGAACATGCGTGTTTGGGCGCATGATTTTGAAGCGTCTGCTTGCTGAACAAATGACAGAACATGGCTAGGAGAAACGACCACGAGAATGACCGCGTTTGGGGCAGCGTCCACTTGTCCAGCACAGTCCTGGCCCGTCAGGCGGTCGATGGCCCTGTCTGAGCCTGACCTGGCGCCGTGTCGTCCTCAGCGTGAGCGAGACCTCCGAGGTCGGGTCCACGGTGTTCTCCAAGGTCAACGTGACGGACGCCGACTTCGGCTTGAACGGAGAAGTCAACCTGGTGTGCGACGCGTCAAAGGTAAGCTCCACCGCAGGCTCTGTTGGCGAGGGCCGTCGGGGAGGTTCCGGCTCTGGCGTCGGGCCGGGAGGTCTGATTCGGTTCCCGCTGTGGGATATTTTCAGTGCCCTGAATCTCAGCACTGGGTCAGTGATGATAATCGTAGAGAAGTTACCTGCGTGTAGCTGTTTTTAACTCTGCAGTAGATGCATTTTGTCCATACACAACGTTGCCACTACAGTCGATATATGCAGACACACACTACGGCGTAGGCGACGATGTACTATGTAACGATTTGTCTCTGAAGGTACATGAACCGTGCTATCAATGTACATAGTTTAGTCAGAAAGATGGACAAGTTCATGAACTATTCAAGTTGTGGACGCATGGAATCGATAACCAAACAACACGGGTCTTCACAACTACTTATTACTTGAATCCTTACTGAATCATTATTGAATCATCGTTATGTCTCGAGCACGGATTGTCAAAGTCGTTAACTATTTGTCAGCCGGTTTTGTTGATGGGACATAGCAGACATAAGATTCTTCTTACAGGCACCTGAGAATAGAACGGCTGTTGCTTATTGTGTGTGTGTGTGTGTGTGTGTGTGTGTGTGTGTGTGTGTGTGTGTGTGTGTGTGTGTGTGTGCGTGTGCGTGTGCGTGTGCGTGTGCGTGTGCGTGTGCGTGTGCGTGTGCGTGTGCGTGTGCGTGTGCGTGTGCGTGTGCGTGTGCGTGTGCGTGTGCGTGTGCGTGTGCGTGTGCGTGTGTATGTGTATGTGTGTGAACGGATCATGTAGGCATAGTTTCCAGACTAGTTCCGATTACTCCAGGCTCCAATGACCACGGTAGTGGTGCCCATTTGAATCAAGTTGGCGAGTTCACGGATTGTTGGCCTGGCTCAGCCGTTAGCCGACAGTTCTGCATTCTACCGGCTGCTTTTCGCTCCAAGTATTCTAAGCTAATCTGTGAGAGTGGTGCAACCCGACGGAGTGCTTGCTTTCTGTATTGGCGAACTCGTTGCCGAAAGGCCGTTAGCTAGCAAACGCGATCGAGACCGCGCTGATGGACGCCGGGGATCTACTGAGCTCTGTTCGCCGGATTTGGAACGACTCTCGTCCGTGTACACTAACAGCAGCCAGGGGCACGGCGGCCGGGACTGGTCGTCTGTGTACACTGACAGCAGCCAGGGGCGATGTGGCCGGGACTGTTGACCGTGCTCGTCCCATGCTGCGGGCGGTTGTTTCATCTCTCCGACATGCTCGATCTGCTAGCAGATGAAGCAAATACCGCCTGGTTTCCAATCAAGCGGCATCAAAGTCTGCATTCTGTGGGCTAAATTGATATTAAATGGCAGGGAGCGGTGTTGTCTCTGCCACGATGGCGCAGAAACTACGCGGTTGCTCGTATGCGTTGCCTAGCGGAACGAAACGTTATGTAAAATAAACACAGTCTGTTGGACAACCCAACAACGTCCTGACAATGCTCGACGAATCATCGTTGTTTCTCGCCTACTCCCTTGCGTAACAGCGGCAATCGTGATGAATATTTTTGTGCAAGGGAGTAATGGTTGCCTGTTATCTTGGCTTAGCCACAACCTCTAGATGTAGTGTCAGCTATTTTCGGCTTAAGCTGTCGCAATGGCGATGACTCAATACCTTAGGTGCTTTTTTACTCGTGTTATTGATGATATGGAGTTTAAGCTTGGGTCGACGGCAAATGGCCATGTAGCTTTTAGTTATATTAAGGTGCTGTTTGATCTATTCTTGTGATGAGGATTGCGATGATTATTATTATGATAACTTTCGTCTATAATCACCCGTGCCGCCCATCACCGTGCCACCGTGTGGACCAGCGTCAGCGTGCCGTCAGCATCTGGTGCCTTCCGCCGCCGTCGTTCACCCAGCATCTGGTGCCTTCCGTTGCCGTCGTTCACGCAGCATCTGGTGCCTCCCGCCGCTGTCGTGCCCTCAGCATCTGGTGCCCCCCGTTGCCGTCGTTCACTCAGCATCTGGTGCCTCCCGTCGCCGTCGTTCACTCAGCTTGCGCCCCTGCCTAAGACGAGTCTCACCGGCCGACACCACGCGCGCCGCCGCCGCCACCCTCTCCTCAGCAAGGGTCACCCGCAGCGTCGCTGGGCGGGCGGACGGACGCGTGTAGCTGCCGGCTGGCGCCCGACACGCCCGCGGCGCCCCTCCCCTCCCTACCCCTCCCCTCCTCCCGTCTGGACGGTGATCGGATTAGAGGAACGGAGGCGTGCGCGCTGTTGCTCCGTCACACGTAACCGGGTTTGCGTGACGCGCCGCCCGTCGCCGCCTACGGGGCCGGCGAGACGCCGCTGAACGAGCGTGGAGCCGACTGAAATCCTTTCAGTGAGAATTTCTCCGAACGGAGATATTGGTTTCAGGTACGTCGGATTGGTGCGGGAATTCACGCAGCTACGCCTTGGAGACGGCAGACGCAGTCGTGCGTGGGTCGATTAGAAAGCAGGGCGGTATGCTTGGCTGCCGTCCTCAGTCCTTGCCACCCGAGAAGCTGCGCATATCATCGTTGTGAGTTAGAAAGACAAAACTGGCTCTCGGTCCACCGATGGGCGCTGTTTTGAGGAGGGTGTCAAGGAGGCTGTGCGATGCGATGTAAAATACAGGCATTTTTGTGTTGAACATGGGAGCATGTTCAGTACATGCTGTCACCATTGTTTGGCAGATTTGCCTGCACAGCGAGTGCCGATCTCAGCGAGCGCTCCGGACAATTGCACAACAGGTGCATGGTTATCTAGCCCTACTGCCTGGGCAGTGGAGCTTAATACGGATTTTGAGACGCTTGGGTCAGGGACATCGAAAAGGGGAGGGGTGCGGGAGTGCCATGCCTCCCCTTGGCATATTTTGTGCCCGCTGGCTGGCAACGATCTCCTCGTCTGAACTGCTTAAGCCCTGCATAGATACATAGGCTACTACATACAGCTGCATACTACTACATACAGCCTACTACATAGGCTTGTCCCCAGAGCCGTTCCCCTCTCTCCCCAGATGATGGTCTGGTTTCCGGGCCGCAAATGCCAGCGACGATCCTGGCCGGGGTTGGTGGAGTTTGTGGAACAAGTTCTACAGAGCTAATTTGAATAATTTGATATTACTTAGTCCAATTTTAATTATTTGGTGGGACGCACGCTAATTTGAATACCGGAATTAAAACTGAGATGACGAAAAGTTAGAGATCCCTTTAGCTGTGATGCACCTTATGAGAATGGCCATAGCTATAATGCATAAATTGATCAAAACAAAAATGCAGTCGCTTACAGAGTTCCCTTAAAACTTGAAGATGGACCGTAACGAAACCGCGTAATTAAGTTATGTAGCTTTTATGGAGTCCACATGTTGCGCAGCGCTTATCATGCGGTAGACCATGGGCGCGCGCCTGCCGTCCATCCACGCTGAGGAGGCAGGAGAAAGCCTTTGAGGACATAACCGTGGGGTGACCAGACCCAGAGGTGCAGCCGGTGGGGGTAAGCTCCCCGCCCCCCCCCCCCCCTTCCTTTAGTAACGCAGTTTTTAACTAGACCACAGACGGCTCCTCCGGTTAGGGCTTAGAATTTATTTCTGGCTTTGGATTTTTTGTCTGGTAATAATGCACGCCACGGAACTGACCAAGGCGGCGGGGGTGACGGCTGTGGCTGTGGAGCTGCGCCGGCGCTGCACCCCTGCCGCCACCGCCGAACCGGGTGCGACGATGACACTGATACTGACACTGACACTGACTTTGAACCCGAAACACCAATACTGAACCAGAGACACTGACAACTGAACCCGCGACAATGCCACTGATACTTAACCCGAGACACGGACGCTGAGCCCGAGACACTGACACTGACACTGCCAACGCGTCGTGTTCGGCAGACGCCTGAGGCGTGTCGGCGGTTCGACGTGCGCGGCGTCGGCCTGAACAGCGGCGTCTTCATCGGCATCGTCACGCTGCGCGGCCCGCTGGACTTCGAGGCCGAGAAGGCGTTCGACGTCAGCGTACTGGCCACCGACAACGGCAAACGTCAGTCGGACGCCGAGCTGGCGCCGGCGCTGTCTGTCGCCCTCCGTCCTGTTCGTCACCGGCGCGGTGTCTGTGTCTGTGTCTGTGTCTGCCGGCGCTGTCTGTCGCCCTCCGTCCTGTTCGTCACCGGCGCGGTGTCTGTGTCTGTGTCTGTGTCTGTGTCTGCCGGCGCCGCTGTCTGTCGCCCTCCGTCCTGTTCGTCACCGGCGCGGTGTCTGTGTCTGTGTCTGTGTCTGCCGGCGCTGTCTGTCGCCCTCCGTCCTGTTCGTCACCGGCGCGGTGTCTGTGTCTGTGTCTGTGTCTGTGTCTGCCGGCGCCGCTGTCTGTCGCCCTCCGTCCTGTTCGTCACCGGCGCGGTGTCTGTCACTGTCTGCCCGTGTGTGTGTGTCCCAGGCTCCGTGCCACTGTGCCTGCCTGCCACTGCCACTCTCGCACTCTCGCACTTCTCAGGCAGTCTGCATGTGCATTCGGCTCCGCCTTGCGTCTTTTTCCATTTATGTGCATTGATGGCGTCAAAGCATCGCTTACTTTGCATGCGGACATTTGATAGCTCTCGCCTAGCTCCTTAAGTGCATCGGTCCAAACGTGCTTGGCTCTAGCTCAAAGGCTGCAGCTGCCAGTGCCGCAAACAGCAGCCCGGGTTGGTTTCAAGCCACATCGCTCTTCACGGTCGTGCGTGAGACGTGTGGCTGAGTGTATTCTGCACAGAGTGGCGCTTATGGTTGTCGTTCACGGCCCCTCGTATCGTTGGTACGTGGAGGTGTGTAGTTTTGGCGTTAGTACCTGCAGCCGCCGCAGTGTGTGCGTCACCCAAATGTAAAAAACAGTACTGTCTGGGGAGGCGCGAAAGGTATGGTGTGAGGGAATCGAACCACGGCCGTTCCGCTCCCGGCTCATTGTTGGCTGTGTTCGTCCTCAGCCCAACTGACGTCTAAGGCCCGAATGGTGATATCAGTGGAGGACGTGCAGGACCAGCCACCGGAGTTCGTCAACGGCCCATACTCAGCCACTGTGTCCGAGAACACCCAGCCGGTACGTCCCCACGCTCCTGTGTTTCGTTGGGCTCGCCTGGGAACGTGGAACCGGTGTGCTGTCCATCAAGCTTTGCCTCATTGAGAACGCCTGAACTGATAACTTGATATGCCAAATTGAGGACGCCTGAGCTGAGAATGTTATGTACCTCACCGAAAACTCCTGAACTGAGAACGTTCTGTCCATCAATGTGGACGTATGAACCTATAAATTAATTTGCATAATTGAGGACGCCTGAGCTGATAAATTTAGATCCGTTATTAGAAGCGCCTGAACTAAGAACGCTCTATGCCTCACTGAGAGCAGATATGTTTCCTGCTACTCTGTGCTATTCCGAAAACGGAAATATATCGGGTTAAACTGCTATCCATAACGAACATCTGTGGGAGAACATGTCGTCCAGTGTGAGTTTACGGGACTTCAGGATTGTCTATGCACTGTCTTTAAGCCTGCTGATATTCCATGAGTCGGCCATGGTGTTGTCAATCGCTAAACCATCCAAGAAGCGCATACTCGCTCTGCTCCTCTCTCACTGTTTCTTCATGGAGACGACTAACTACGTCATTTCTTGCTACCGATCGGACTCCGCGCCACGCACCGGCGTGTCTAGAAACATCGGTTGTCTACCGGCGTGTTAAGAACCTCCGAAAAAAACCCGCTTCAGCCCTTTTTTTCCTGAACCCGTAAGGACAAAGCAGATCATCAAAACGAAGCTCAGAGCTCAAAAGCTGTAGACAAGGCAGATCATGAAAACTGTGGCTCTTGGCATGAGACCAGCGGCTCTGTGGCATTTAAGCTGGTGAGGATCGATGACAGTGGAACAGTTGGACCAACAGTCCTGACAGTAGTTGTGCCTGTCACATTCTCCTCCACCAACATACTTCGACCCAGCTGCTTGCAATGAAAGCGGATGGCACGCATCGAACCTCTTCAGAGGGCGACAGAGCCCGACAACGAGAAAGGCGCGGAGAACGTCTCGCTTGTGTGTGGCGAGAGCCGCCTTTGAGCCCGGTGAGCGGCCTCGTGCAGCTGTGGTGACCTCGTGCTCGGCGACAGGGCACGCCGGTGCTGGACATCGTGGCCCGGGACGGCGACACGGGCATCCCCAGGCAGCTGCGACTCTCCATCATCGGCGACGAGGCCGGCTACTTCCAGCTGCTGGAGCCGGTCAGAGGTCAGTGGCTCGGGGTCGGAGGCGGAGCTTTCCACCGGGGATTGTGTGGGCCTAAGCACAGATGATTCCAAAACACAACGTATTTTGCTTCGCAATTGCGAGGTCAGACGATCCGGATAACTATGCTGGTGGGTGTCCTGGATCTGCATAACAATGCTGGTGGGTGTCCTGGATTGCGCGCGTGAGCGTACACCAATGTTCGGCTCGGGTCGCGTGAGTGTGTAATTGCTTAAGTGGCTGCGCCGGCGTAGTTGTCTCTACTGCCTGAATGCTTTGTTCTCCGGGTTTGCTGCTTATGGTATAAAGTGTCTCTCATCTGTAGGGTATTGATTGAGCCTGTAAGTGCGTCATTGCTGTTATGTAATGACTAGTCCAATTGACAGCGGACTATAATAGGTCTCTTCAAATGGCTCTTATTGGAAATACTTCACATTTGAGGATGTTGAAGCAAGCATCAGATATGATGAAATAGTTTCACTTAAACTCTTAGTACTCTTTTCAGTGGAAAATACTGGTCCAGACAACGCTTTTTCCCTGCGCAGCAAATGTGCTCCGAGAGCCAATTGATGGCCATTATATATGGGTCTTGCTCACAAACGCCATATCTATACGACTCGACAATAATATTTTTCGTGGCATTGATCGCCGCATGGCTTACGGCACGACATAATTTGAATGGCGTTATTATGGCGTCGTGGACGACTGGGTTATCTTGAAATAGTCACCTCGAAATGCTCTGCACATCATAACAGGTGTCTAGTTCAGGAACTAGAGGGGTTTGGTTCATAAGAAGGGCAGGGCTGTGAACTGCACCAAATGATCTTCAAGATGACCATTTTAGTTAAAAAAACCCTAAGCAAATGTGAAAACTCCATTTAATGCTGGCTGCTACTGCTGTTGAATGATGACGTGTTTATGCTGATTCCTGGTCAGCGTTGTCGATTTATATATCATATGCCGCATTCATTGTGTTAGTATCGATGCCAACGTATGAATGCTCTTTGAGGCGAGGTTATCCAGTTCTGATCGCGTGGGCTTAAAAATAGATTGCTAAAAAAGTGTTCGCGCTTTGCGCCTCATCAGAGAAATGCCCTTTGACAAGTCATTGGGGTCGCACGCATATGATGTTACACTCATAGTTGGCATTGGTTCACTTATATCGGACCTGGCTTAACCAGTGTGGGTCACCATACGTGGGGAACAGGTCCCTGGCCTCACAGTGTGTTTGCTATGGTTTTCCCCACATGTTTCTTACGTCCTTCAACAAACCCTTTTTTGAAGTGGTGTTTTGTGGCATTTTTGTCACCAAGGTTTGCTTTTGTTGAGCAAGCGTTTCCAGCTTGTTTTTCGACTTTTTGAACTTTTAATTTCTGACAGCTTCTGCCGGTTTGCGTCGCCGCCAGCGTCCGGCAGCAAGATCGTTCGATTAAACCGTCTTGACAGAATTTATGTCAGTCGGATGCTATCAACCTTTGATCGGGGAAGGGGGGGGGGGGGGGGTAAAAACGCATCGGCCACTGAGGCCATTACGCATCACCCCAAAATCAAAACAGGGCTTATTGAAAGAAAAGTAATTGTACAATGTTGAAAAATGGGTGCCAAATGACATAAATCCAAATAAAGTAACCTTATATGAAAATAACTAAATCGCTATTTTAAATGCAAGTCTGAATTTTCGCAGACATATCTGAGGCAGGCAGCGTCCTAACCCAGCCTCGTCCGTCTACAGCGGCGTATCGACCCAGCAGGTGCCACTGTCTGCCGTACTGCCGTCTGAGTGTCTGACGCGTGTCGACCCAGCAGGCGCCACTGTCTGCCGCACTGCCGTCTGAGTGTCTGACGCGTGTCGACCCAGCAGGCGCCACTGTCTACCGTACTGCCGTCTGAGTGTCTGATGCGTGTTGACAGGTGCTGGCGGCGTGTACACCACCCAACTGGTGACGGGCAACACCAGCCTGGACCGCGAGAACCCGGACATCCTCAGAGACGTGGGCCTGTACCAGTTCCAGCTGGAGGTGAGTGACGGCCGCCCTCCCGCTAGTAATCCGACAGCGCGACGTCGGACGGTTGGCGCGCGGCAACAGCTGGACTTGGATGAATGCGTCCCCCGGTCAGGGATCAGCCAGCCGTCAGCTATTAAAGAGAGTGATCCATATTTGTATGGGGAGGGCTGAAATAGTCATCTTGAAGATCATTTGGCGCAGTTCACAGCCTCGCTCTGGTTAAGGTCTAGCCCCTCCATTTTCTGGGCTACACGCCGGCGAAAATGTACAGACTACTTCGTGCGGACTGTTTCAAGGTCACCCAGGCATTCATGACGTCATAATACGCCATTTCAACCCTGCTATTTCATCAGCCATGCGGCGATCAAGGCCAAGAAGAATGTGATAGTCCAGCCGTTCATATCTGGCGTTCGTGAGCACGATTTCCAGATATAATGCCCATCAATTAGTTTTCAAGGAATGCTGTGCTAGGCCCAATAACGCGTCAGTCAGTCTCGTATTGCGGAGCTCATTTACTAAATGGAGAAATTGCGTTGTCTAGAGCAGTTTTTCCACCTAAAAGTTTTTTTTAAAATAAATTTGGTCCGAATCCTTTGAATGGATGGATTTCTGGGATCAGCGCTCACGCTAAGCAGTGCTTGTTGTGTGAGCCCTGACCCCCACCATCCGATCGCGCAGTTCCAGGCAACGGCAGAATTTGGTGGCGAAAGTTTTACGTGCCGCAATGGTCGGCACGGTCCGTCCTGCCCTCTGACGTCAACTGGCCTTTAGCGCGACCGCTGCCACCGGCCGCAGGCCATACCTGCCAAGGGCAAATATCGAGCGCCCTAAAGCGACTCGAACCCATCCCGCCACGGATGGGTGGGTCGGAATGCAGGCGCTCTAACCAACTGAGCCACCGGAACGGACATATAAAAGTGTACCAATAGTTAGAAGTGAGCTTATTCCATCATACATGATGTTTGCTTCAGAATCTTCAGCTGTAGAAACGTTCATTTTAAGCCGCGATTTAGCGTAATTTGCTACGCACGGTCAGGAGTTGGAACTCGACGGCTCTATTGGATCGATGACCTTGGCTGCTCTGTTGTGGTTGGTCGCACAAGCTCACGAGGTAGTACCTGGCGATGTAATTATGATCCTGACCCGGTGTTGTGATTGGCTGCGCAGGCCCAGGAGGTGGAGTCTGATGTCTCCTTGGGGGAAAAGGTGGTGACGAACGTTACGGTGGTAGTGACAGACCAAGACGACCAGGTGCCCACCTTCAACAAGAACCAGTTTCTTGTCTTCATACCGGAGGATACTGGTGAGCTCGCATCACACGTGTCTTCCTCATGACCAGTGCTCCATAGGTATACGCAGCAAAGGCCTTGAACTCCCTGGTTTTTCGGCTTTGTGAAAACTCTTGATTTCTCGGCTCAAGTGTTTTGACCGTGACCTTGCTCCATTATGCTGCAGTAATCTACCTCCATTTAACACGCGCACTGATGGCCGGCTAGATACCCTTCACTCGGGTGAGCGGGGTGGGGGTGTCAATTTGACCCCCTGAGATCTCGGGAACTGAGAGAGCTAAAGACACACCATTCACAGGGTGTGCTGACCTGTACTTGAACTCACTAAAGTCAAAGTTTGAAGTTCCTCGGTCATAACCCTCCGGGACAAAAAATGTCAAATAAGGGTCAACTTCCACCAGGTTGGTCTCCAAAGTGTCCCCAGAACCTAGATACCTGTTTTTAAGCAAAAGTTAATACGCTCAGTTAAGGTCAGTGACCTTGCTTGACCCTTTAAAGGTCATGGTGACCAAAATCATACAAGACTTCTTTGAGTTTTGCATTTGAATAAGCGACAAAAATTACGTTAGGCGGTATGTTTCTAGAAACAAAATGTTGACCCGGGTCACTTTAGTTCAATGGCCTATTCTGACCTCTAAGAAGTACGTGGAAGATGTCAAATGCGGTTCCTGCTATCAATAAATTCGAAATGAGAGCCAGAAACTATCCCATACTGCAAGCCCTAGAGTAAAAAAACAGGTTGGTTTTGACCCTGGGCTGACCTTTTGTACCTGATCCTAGGCCAACGTAATTTGCTCATTCAAAATTGGTGTTGCCTAAGAAAGCATCTCAGAGATGCATGGATTCGTCTAACGCTCAATTGTTGCATCAGATTGAAGGATTCCCTGGAAATGGACTCCTCTGAAACCTTGGCCTGACTGATCTGTCATAGGTACGCGACCTTAACAGTTACATCTATTTTGTTATTTCAAACGAGTAGTTTTTTAATCGTCTACAGCTATGCAAAATTTGGCGCGGCTGCGCCGCGCCGTTCGAAAACCAGTCTGGAAAAACCTTCGGAAGGGGGGGGGGGGTCACTTTGACCCCGACCCGAGTGCGTGTTAAGGGTTCTATGATGGTATCATAATCTACCTTCCATTATATTATACTGATATATCTCCACTATGGCATGATAAGCTACCTCTTTCAAACTATCATAAACTACTTTCATATCTCAACGCTGTCCGAGAGGACATTAAATAAATGATGGTAATGATGATACCAAGCGTACTGGTTGAACAACGTAATCAAGAAAGAAGTTAGTATCTTGGCGATAGTCAACACTTAAAACCGTGCACATAGTCGTCAAGTCAGCCCTGGTTCAGCAGTTCGTCCACATCTCATTCATCTGGACTCGGGCTCGTCCACTTGGGTGATGACTTGTAACCATGTAAATGGCTTGAAGTGAGCACTTGTGCTATGAAAGTCGACACTTGCTTGATGATGTCATTTATCGAGTAACACCTGGTGTAATGAATGCAGGCTATTACCAGAATAAGAGTGCCCATCTCACAACGTGCTACATGGCTGACATTTTCAAAAACTTTATTTTCTCGTTTATACATTTTGAAACACGTGCTCAAAGTGCAAAAAAAAAACACGGAATATCCCGAACGCAGGGCGACAGGCCTTGGTGTGAAAGGTCATTGCAGCCGGATACTTCTGACACGCCGAGGCGCGGCGCGTGGACGAGCCGGTGGCCGTGACGAGCCGGTGACCCGGCCGACCTTCCCGTGACCGGATCGGGTCGTCCCCGGCAGCCAACGGCACGCCGCTGCCCGGCCTGGACATGCTCGTGTCGGACTCGGACGCTGGCGCCGGCTCCCGCTTCCAGCTGCGGCTGCAGGACGTGCAGCACAGCGACGGCGTGTTCGAGATCTTCCCGACGGAGGCGGAGGGTCGCGCGCCCGTGATCATCAAGGTCGCCGACTCGTCCAGGTCGGTGCTGAATCGTACAGGTCGGTGCTGACGTGTCTAAGGCGGTGTTGACTCGTCCATGTCAGTGCTGATGTGTCCAGGTCGATGCTGGCTCGTTCAGGTCAGTGCTGGCTCGTCCAGGTCAATGCTGGCTCGTCCAGGCTTGTGCCGTACACCACTTTTGATGAGTGGCTCATTCGGCTGGGTGTTGGCTCCTCCTGCAGCGACGCGGCCGGGTGAGCATAGCCACTCGTCAACTGGGTGTAAACTAGGACAGCGATTCGTCCGTTGCTCCTCTAGGTGTGCGCAGGCTCGTCCAAGAAACCGCAAACTCGTCCTGTGCCCGTTTCTGTGCACGGAGATATGCCCAGTCACTTGTGCTGTGATGTTTTTAGTTGTGTGTCATCACAACCCCTCTGGTTGGCGTCGCGCTGGTCTAGCAGGACGCAATCTGCCCGTGTGCTTTTTGGTAGATTATTATTTGCGGGGTGTTCGATCGAACCTGGGCTATTTTTTGTTTATTATGTTTCAATGTCGGTATGTATAAAGCGGCCAAGTGAAGCATCCGGAAGCGTTTTGGATTGGATCGAACGACTCTTGCGTGGCAGCTGCTCGAGACCTGCCTGTGTCAACACGCCATCCATGGCGTTTGGCCTGCGTGCATCGAGCGAGTCAGTGTTGCAGGGCGCTGATTGGCCCGTCTTTGCAGACTGAACTATGAGCGTGAGGAGGACCGTCAGTTCGCTTTCGCCGTGGTGGCCTCCCAAGGTCAGACGGAGGTCACGGCCACGGTGACCGTGCTCGTCACCGATTCCAACGACAACCCGCCGGTGTTCTCCGATGAGACCTACAGGTGCGCGGAGACGTACAGGCCTTTGTTGTGTAGTGCACTTACTGCAGCAGTGGTGTGAATGCTGGATTGCACTACATTCAATTCCTAAGATGCAGTTCACCACACGTGTCTCGTCTACGTTAAGTACGAGTGGGATAGAATCGACTTTATAGCCCTCGACGAAATGATAAAAGCTGGAGAGTAGCATGCTTCTATCATTGTATAAGCCTGTTAATTTGTGCATTTATCCATGGACTGCCTGCTTGCACGGCATATTGTGATTAAATGCCTCGCAGGGTATTGTTCGCTGCGCAGGCACTGGTCAATACGTAATATTGCCTGAACTACGAGATGATGGGGCCCCAGATTGTAAAAAGCACTGGAGGCTTCGCCCTTGACATGTCCTGTCTGGACACGAGTGCCCGATGATGAGCTTTTCCCCCATCCTTGTCGGAAACGCAGCGCCCTATTCAGAGTGTCTACCACTCGCATGGGGACGAAACCGTCTGTTTGACAACTATGCCAGCGGCGCGGCGGAAGTTTGGGAGTAGATCCAGCGGAGTCTGCTAAGCAGGATGTAAATAACCTTCGTGCGAAAT